TAGGGGATGCTGAGCCAAAAGCAGAAATACCAGGCGCCCAGTGGACAATCCCCACTGCTGTGTTTGGCTGTGGGTGTCCGAGGCTATGAGAGGTGACGGGCTGGAATGAGAGGTTTAGGAGGGGGCAGAAGGGAGGGAGAGGTGCTCTGAGGCTCCCCTGAACTGGCCAGGGTGGCAATCTGGGGATTTCTGCATTTCGCAGACGTGCCAGCTGCCAGCGGGTGGGAGTGGAGTTCGAATATGGAGAATGGGGTTCAGACGGCACCCCGCATGGGAGCAGCAGCAAGGATCTCTGTGCGTGGCACTGGTGACAGGGGCATGGGCCGTGGAAAGGCCACCAGCCTGAGTGCCCACTCAGCTCAGAGGACCCGAGTGCAGCTCCTGTGTCCTGGAGGTCCTCCAGTCACCCGGGTCTGAACCCTGGCCAAACTGTTTCCACCCTCCGAGACAGGAGTGCTGTGATTTGTAACTCCTGGCAGCTGTACTTAACATGGCACTTTAAAAAAATGCCAGAAAACCAAAGAGATTAGCTGGTAAGAGGCAAAGATAGAGTAGCTGAGCCATACACAGATTTAATAAATGGGTAATTTAAGCCTATAAACACAGCTAATCCCATGCATTTATATTACAACAGGGGTTGTCTTATTTGACTGCCAATTCCCTCCTCCTGTGGAATTAATAGCTTTCTAAAACTTTAATTTTTTTGTGTGTTTTTTTAACTTTTAAAGTTGATCCAATCATTTGTTAGTTTGGTTAACCTTTTGAGGAAATGATCATTGGTTTAAGTACTCTTCTTTTTTCTTTTTTAAAGTTTCTAGTTTGTTCAGTTCTGCTGAGCAATTACTTTTCTAAATCCCTTATGAGATCTATTTTCTATCTTCCTTTTGCCTTCTTATTGATATATTTAGAGAAATGTACTTTCTTCTAAATAACATCTTGCACTCATGGGTTTTGGTGGACGGACTCCAGTGCTCTCCTGGGGGAGTTTTTAAATGCTGCAGGGTATTCATGAAGGCTCTTCTGGTTACTGGGTAACTTAGGCAAACGGAGAAGGTACTAGAAGGATCCTGGACAGCCCTGAATAGGAAAGAGCTCAACAGCCAGCTCTCAAATGCAAGTGCCTGGGAGTCCCTCTAGGGCACCCCCTTGTGGGCCTAGCTGGGAAATCAAGTCAAGACTCCAGATAGCTCAGGGTCAGTTTTAAACAGCTGAAAGAGAAAGTCTGACTGGCTCAGCTTGGGTCAGGTAAATGCTTCTGGGTCCAGTGGGAGGAACATCACAGACAGGGCCCCTGACATGTGGGGGTCACAGAATAAAGGATTGTTGCAAACTGAGTGGCCACCTCTGTGTATACAGTGGAGTCCCTCTCATGTCCTAGTAAGGCCTTTGGCCAGTTACTTAAATTCTCTGCTTCAGTTGTTCCACTTGTAAAATGAGGATAATAATGAAATCCACTTCATAAGGTTTCATTTAATGAAAATTAAATCAGTTAATATTTGTAAACATGCACAGAGAGAACAATGTCTGTTACATAACAGACACCATGCAAGTGTTTGCTATTATATTTCTAATTTTATCAATATATGTGCTGTTTGCACATTCTTTTTATTTACTTGAAACTTCTCCATCTATGATTATCTGGAGTGTGAGAGAAACTCATACACATTTTGAAAAGGTAGATTCTCTAATTCATCTAGTTGTCTAAAACTGTTAATCTTACCTTATTAGTGATGCAGTTGAGCTCTGAATCTTTAGAACCATTCTTTCCTGTATGTGATCTGCCATATTCTGAAGTGAAGTTCTAAAGAATCCTAATAGATTTTCATTGATTGCTTCTTGGATCACTGTCACCTTTTCATTCATACATTCTGTAATCAGGAAGTCCGTGGTACCTAATGAATCTGCTGTGTTTTCATTACTGTGCCTTTCATCATTCTGACATGCCAACGTGGCTATTGCCTCTCGCTTTTGCTTAAGTCTGTGTTGTCAGAGCTCATTTTTTAAACTCCTGCCTTTCTTACATTAGTACAGGTGTTCTTTTTAGTTGGCTTTTTTTTTTTTTTTTCGTTTAAATGGGTCTTTGGACATAATCCCCAATCCATCAAATGCTTGGACTTGGTCTTCAAGTTCACTCGATGACTCTTCCTTTTTAGAGGAATCGGTCCCTGTTGTAACTGTCACGTGTGTCTTTATCTTCGTTAAGATGGTCTTTTCCACAACCGGATGTCGGCTGGCCCCTGGTCCACTTCACCCTTGCGGCTGGCTCTGCGTTTGGCCATGCACTGCCTGCCTAGATGCAGAACCCAGCCAAATCTCAGAAACACTCCCTGCCCGAAACCATGCACCCTTAAGTGCGCACGCGCACAGGCGCCACGCCCCCTCCGCGCCGACAGAGCCCGCAAGCCTGCTGATTGGGGAGGACACGGGACAGACCCCAAGACCTTCCCCCCAGCACGCTCTCCTCTCGCTCGGTCTCCTGCCCTCCTCGAAGCCGGTGTCCAGCTGTCTGTTCCCTGGTGCTTCTGGCCTCACCTCCTACCCAGGGCACTTAACAAAGCATTTCTCCCAAGCCCTCCTTCTTTGAGTCTGTTCTTCTTAGTCTCAACATATTTGTGTTATTAAGCGTCACGTATCATAAAATAGGTATTTCCTCATTTCTTCCGTGTGAGATCAAGATGAAGTTATTCAATCGAGCTCGCAGTGGAAATTCTTCCTCCTCGAAGTGTGGCCGGTGGTGCAGCAACGTGCGCATCACCCGGGGACCTGTGGGAATCTCGGGGTCCCCTCCCAGACTTACAGAAGTGGACTCCGCATCTGAACAAACTTCTCATACACATAAGAGGCCGAGACATTCCGGTCTGAGGAACTATTCAGTGCTTCCGATTTTAATACATTTGGCATTTGATAAATAGAATTTACCACCTTCTATCCGCCCTAAAAGCCCAGCCATCCAACTCAGAAGCCTTGGGGACAATCCTACCTGCCCCCCATTTCAAGCCCAGTCGATGACCTGCTGGCTCTCTTTCCTTAATGTAGCTCATATCCGTCGCATTTTCTCTCTTCTAGTCACCACCGCCGCCAAGTCCTCCGAGTTTCCCTTCTGGATTGCTACTTGCCCTCCTAGCCCGTGGTTCTGTTCCTCTCAGTGAAGCCAGAGTCATTTTCCAAAACTGTGTATCTGATCCTATCACTCCCGGCCTTAAGATCCTCCAACATTGCCCATTGCCTTCAGAATTAGGACCAAACTCTTCACGTGGAATACAAGAACCTCCTTAGCCAGATGTTGCCCAACCTGTCCGAGTCCAGCCTTCTTTGCCCTGAGCTGCAGCCACACCTGCTTCATGTTCTATGTCCCTGAATGTCGGTTTTCTTCCCTCTGCCTGGAATTTCCCTCTTTGCCTGAATAACTCCTCTCTACTTGAGAAACTTGGAAGTAGGCCTTCCCTCTGCTGAGCAGCCTCTTCTTTCCCAGTCTGGGGCAGGCGCCCATTCCTCGTCTCCTTGTGTAGCTTGAAGAGCGCCCCATGGCACATGGCACAACCTGGTCTGCTTGTGCATCTGCCTTTGTAAGCCTGTGGGCAGTGTGAGGGCCAGGACCGCCCCGAACTGACCTCTCTGAATGCCAGCTTCTAGAATGGAGCCTGATCCACAGTAGGCACTCAGTAAACAGCTATTGAATAAAGAAATGAATCAAACATTACTCTTGCTATTTACGAGTTTTAAAAAATAGTATGTTACCATTTTTCTAAATTCCATATATATGCATTAGTATACTGTATTGGTGTTTATCTTTCTGGCTCCCTTCACTCTGTATAATGGGCTCCAGTTTTATCCAGACGGATGGGATGGGTAGGGAGGTGGGAGGGGGGTTTGGGATGAGGAACACATGTAAATCCATGGCTGATTCATGTCAATGTATGGCAAAAAACACTACAATATTGTAAAGTAATTACCTCCAACTAATAAAAATAAATGGGAAAAAAAATTAAAAATAGTATGAAGTTCCTTTAGAGGAACACTTAGTTTCACTGTCATCTTTCTATCATTGTTAAATCATTAATATCATTGCTTTAAAACCTTTTTAGTTCCTTTTTTATATCTTGCTGTTACATATTGTATTTTCCATTAAGACAATATAATTTGCACCAAGTTTTTCCTACTAGTCTTAGGGAAAATTTTATCTTTGTTCAGGGTCTACTTTTGAGATGCAAATTCAATTGTCCATTTTTAATGATCCTTGAAATGAATGGTTTTTAATGGCAGCCTTTTCTGTTTTTGAGGATTTACAAATGTTGTTTTTCTCCTCTCAAAGCACAAGTTGATGGGGTAACTGATCTTGGATGGTGATGCTTGGTCCTAAATTTCTCTGTAAATGTCTTCCCTGATTTTTCGGTATTAAAATTGAGGTTTTCTTGTCTTTGGCCTCAAAGAAATGGAAAGAAATGCAATCTGGAAGATTAACTGGACCTAGAACAACCAAGATGATGCTGATCAGACCAATCATTGCTGACCAATCTCACATGAATGTCAGGGAGGACTGGGCTGTTTCTGCATGTAACCCCCTCTCTCTGTTTATAAAAGCTCTTGTCCACTGATTGTCAGGGGTGGGAGTCGGCCTTTGGAAGGCGTCTGCCCTCCCCACCAGAGGCCAGCATCCAAAAGAAAGCAGACTTTCCATCCCACCAACCTGGACTCAATTGGCTTTTGAGCGGCGAGCAGCCAGACCCCACTTTCGGTTGCATATCCACTGTGCAAATATCAGAGGCCACCATGACCTTGCCAGGCTCAGCCCAAGCACCATCTCATTTTTTTTTTTTCATGTTGAAGTTTTTTATTTTGCTAAAATGTACAAACAAAATACAACTACCCACACTTTATGGTTTCTAAACATATAACCACTGATGGCTTCCAAAAGATGCTGATGTTCTTCATAGTTAAGATGCTTGATGTTCTGTAAAAGCCCAACGTACCTTCCACTCTAACCACCAAGCCAGTCTACTTCAGAAGTCCTGCCGTATGTTTTCTTCGTTTGCCTCTCCATGTTGCTGCTTCATTTGAAAGAGCTCATTTTCTAATTGTACAATAGTCCTTTCAATCTCATAATTCTTACTGACCAGGGATACCCAGGTTGACTCCATTTCTCTTAATTTAGATCCAGCTGTGAGTTGCATGTTCTTTCGTTGCCAGTTTAAGTTTGAATATGTTTACTTAACTTCTGAAGCTCTTTCTGTGCGTGCTCAATCATATGAACTAGATTTTCATTATACACTTTCCAGGCATTGCATCCATGCTGGGACATTAGTTCCAGATTCTCAATTCGAACTGCCTGATGCTCTAACTGCGCCATAGAATTGTTTACGCACTCTTGCCATGCAGTGATGTCATTTTTCTGACCGGAGGAAGGGGCTGGAAGTTCATATCGTTTCATACTGAGCAATTCAATTGGTTGTCGAGCAGCCAGTCTTTCAAATTCATTTCTCATTATGTCTGTCTCAAAAGCAGAATAATCCGGGGCCGTCAGGTAGCTTAGATAGTTCTTCGTAGGTTGGTATCTGCGAGTTTCCTCCTCAACCAACGCCGCAGCCGCTTCGCGAACACCAGGCGCTTCATAACCCTGGTCAAAATATGGCAGCGCATCCACCACAACCTCCCTGGCCACCAAACCAGTGTCCGCCATCCTTAGGTTCACTGGAGTTTTCTAAGTCTTGCACCATCTCATTTTTATCTTACCCTGGAGGCTTACAGACTTACCCAGCCTGGGGTCTGTCTTCATTAGGGAGGACCCCTCAAGGGAAGACCAGTCACTCTTTGCAGAGCGGTCACACCGGCTGGCACCTTCCTGGGACGAAGAACTCTGTGTACAACCTACTCTGCGGGGTGTGCTCAGTAAGTCTAAGGAGCAGGATCGAGCCTCTCCCATGACTGTAGACAACAACTGAAAAGAGCTTCAGCTGTTGGCAAGCTGAGTGAAGACAATCAGAGATTATTTCTCGGTTCTTAACAGCTGTGTTGGAGAAGGACCTGGCAACCCACTCCAGTGCTCTTGCCTGGAGAATTCCGTGGACAGAGGATCCTGGTGGGCTGCTGTCTATGGGGTTGCACAGAGTCAGACACGACTGAAGCAACTTAGCATGCATGCATGCATTGGAGAAGGAACTGGCAACCCACTCCAGCGTTCTTGCCTGGAGTATCCCAGGGACAGAGGAGCCTGGTGGGCTGCCGTCTATGGGGTCGCACAGAGTCGGACACGACTGAAGAGGCTTAGCAGCAGCAGCAACAGCTGTGTAATGAATCTTTGAAACTAACAACTCATTATTAAATCTTATATTGGAGGAAGCAGTGGAACACGATGCTGTTTCAAGGCAGAAAACCAATATGAGCTTGTTTTCTTTGCTTCAAAAGGTGGTTTTGGTCAGTAAGGATCTCTGGAAAGAGAGAATCCTCCTGCAAAGCTACTTGTCTGGACATCCGTTGTCAGCATGGCTTGGCGGCAGCTGGAAAGAGACCTTGGTCATGGGTTCAGTCCCTATGTGGACCCTTAACATTGCTCCTAACATAGTTATTAATACAAACTGTACTTTGATTTCAGCCCTCCTAAATGAGTGGGTCTGGGTGAGATGGCGTGGGTAAATCTGTCAGCATGATTGGGAAACCAATTTAAAAGCACGTGGTTCAATAATCTTGGGTTTTCTATGCTTTCTTCACAAATGGAGGACCAGAATTAGAGGAATTTTGAGGAACCAAGGTGGGAGAATTAAATAAAGACATGTAGTACATATTGTAGCTTAAACGGGAGTCTTTCAGTTTTTGTTTGTCCTTTCAGGAGGACAATAAGTAGCCATGTTAAAAAAAAATGTTAGAGGTATACCTACCAGTACTTGGGGCTTCCTTGGTAGCTCAGCTGGTAAAGAATCTACCTGCAATGCGGGAGACCTGGGTTCCATCCCTGGATTGGGATGATCCCCTGAAGTTGAGCATGGCAACCCACTCCAGTATTCTTGCCTGGAAAATCTCCAAGGACATAGGAACCTGGTGAGCTATAATCCATGGGGTCAGAAAGAATCAGAACACAACTGAAGTAACTTAACATGTACACATGCATGCATGTGTTAAACGTGTTCATCAATTTTGGAAAAAATGGACATCTTTACAATGTTGAGTCTTCCAACCAAGAGTACAATATATCTCTACATTTATCCAGGTCTTCTTTGGATTATTTAATCAACATGTGATTTTGAGCATACAGATTCTGCCCTGTTTTGTGCTATAAAAGACTGTGAAAAGATAAGCTACCAAATGGGAAAAAAAATTAGCAAATTGCATATCTGACAAAGACCTTATATCTGTAATATACAATGAATTCTCAGAATTTGACAGTAAAAAACAAAACAAAAAAACACAGACTAGCAATCTAATTGTGAAATGGGCAAAAGATATGAATAAATATTTCATCAAACAGGAATTAGAGATGGCAACTAAGCCCATGGAAAGATGTTTACCATCATTAACCAAATCATATTTTAATATTCACAAACTTTAATTATACACAAAAATTAATATACTGAGTGTTCATGTTGCCTGTTTAGTGTGGGAGAATTAAATGTATTCATATTACGACCACTAACGATAAAAGACATACTTAAGAAATTCAGTACTGTTTTCATCATATACAAAGGCTATTGTTTTCTCCATAGGCATATGCTAAATGTATAACAATGTAAAAAGTATTCACCATATTGTATACATATTCCTTTTCAGAAGTGTGTTAAGAATACAGAGCTAGCTTCACCTGTATTTTAGGGTAATAGATGTTATCTTTCATATTTTAAAATATTTGTCCTCAATGAGTCCCTTAATTCTGTTGTGTTATTCATTTGATCATAAAAAGCTTGTGGTTTCTTCAAATTCTTCTAGCTCGTTTGCCTCACCATATTGTATGAGGCTCTAATTCTGAAGGGAATGCCTAGAAGCTGGGTTCTAAATATTGCTGTAAAAAACAATCCTAGATATCAAGTAGCAATGAATTCTCTACCATATATTTATTGAAGATCAAATAACTGGTTGGAATTTGTCGGGCACTGAAAGTACAGAAAGTTTTAAGTCCTCCACCGTGGAAAATTTGCAGAATAATAGCTCAAGACTTACGCCTTACCAAGTTTATGTTGTTAATTGAATTATTTGTCTCAACAATGAAGGGGGGTCAGAAATGATCATAGAAACACACTGGTAATTAGTCCAGGAGAGAATCTTTCCACCTGAGAATCATTTGCTATCTTTTCGGCCCCAAGGGCTCTAATTCACGAGAATCGGCATTTCTTGCCCATTTATGCTCTGAAAACTCACCACAGAAGGATAAAAACGTAACCCTGGCCTGTGAAGATGACAGCCACATTATCCACCTGACGAAGAGAAAGCCTCAGTGTTGCAGTGTCTCTAATATCATCGGTATATTCTTCAGAATCAGCTTCCATACAGCTCAACATTTTTTTTCTCCAAAAGGATGAAACACAAAAAGTCACTGTTTGCTAACTCTTTAAAGCAGTGATGCTCCGCTGCTGCCCCCTCAAGGTTCTCACATTTTTTTCTCCAGGGAGACAAATCTTAAATCACCCCCAATCCTATCCCAAGTAGAATATAAAAACCACACATAGGTTGCTCACGGGGCAAACTACTGACAGCATCAATTATTTAAAAGCAGTCATCTTGGGGTGTCCCTGGTAGCTCAGGGGTGAAGAGTCCGCCTGCCAGTGCAGGGGACACGGGTTCGATCCCTGGTCCGGGAAAATCCCACATGCTTCGGAGCAGCTGAGCCCGTGCTCCACGACTACTGAACCTGAGTTCTAGAGCCCACGAGTCACAGCTCCTGAAGCCCACACACCTAGAGCCCGTGCTCCATAACAAGAGAAGCCCCAGCAATGAGAAGCCCGCACTCTGCAACTAGAGGGTAGCCCCAACTCGCCACAACTAGAGAAAAGCCCGCACCGCAACCAAGACCCAGCACAGCCAAAAACAAACAAACAAAGATGAACAAACAAACAAAAACCAGTAATCTTATCTTCCAGACATTTATTTCATGGGTGACTGTTTACTTTCCATTGAGCAAAATTCAAGGATAATGTATCTTTAAAATGTATTTTGTGTACATTTAAAAGTAAAAGAGCAAAAAAAAAAGAAAAACAAAACCCAAAGAGGTTCTTTTGGAGGGGTGGTCAAACCACGCAGCTTGCAACATCATAATTCCCCAACCAGGGTCTGAATCTACGCCCTCTGCCGTGAAAACAGAGAGTCTTCACCACTGGACCACCAAGGAGTACCCAGCAAAACCTTTTTTTCAAATGTTTTTAGACTTTAAGATATCCACAGGGACTGCCCTGGAGGCTCAGTGGTAAAGAATCTGCCTACCAATGCAGTAGACACAGGCTCGATCCTGGTCCTGGAGGATCCCACACGCCTTTAAGCCCATGTGTCCTGCTCACTGAAACTAGAGAAAAGCTTGCCCCAGCAGTGAAGATCCAGCACACCCAAAAGATAAATAAATAAACAAATAAAAACTTAAAACGATACCCACAGTAGACATCTGTCAGAATAAATTCAATTTTGATTATTTCTCTGTCCATCATCAACCTATCAACTCAATTTTGCTCGCCAATAAAAGAATTTACTAGACATTGTAAAAGATCAAATTTCGAAAAGGTGTTTTAAGTTATTTGTAAACTGCTGTGAACAGGTTCCCTTCAGGTTCCACAGGCACAATGTGTCTGTGAGAGGGATGGGGGGCACCCAACTTTCACCAAAACGTCTGCACGCCTGACCTTACTGAATTCTCAGAGACCCAGCAGAGCAGGTATTTCCCTGTTTCACAATGAGCAAATTGAGGTAGAGAAGTTATGATGCCAAATGCATTTTCCAAACCACGGAACTAATAAAGAGGATACCTGCAATTCAAATGGGGCTTCCCTGATAGCTCAGTTGGTAAAGAATCCGCCTGCAATGCAGGAGACCCTGGTTCGATTCCTGGGTCGGGAAAATCTGCTGGAGAAGGGATAGGCTACCCACCCCAGTATTCTTGGGCTTCCTTGTGGCTCAGCTGGTAAAGAATCCGCCCGCAATGCGGAAGACCTGGGTTTGATCCCTGGGTTGGGAAGATCCCCTGGAGAAGGGAAAGGCTGCCCACTCCAGCATTCTGGCCTGGAGAATTCCATGGACTGTGTAGTCCACGGGGTCGCAGAGTCGGACAGGACTGAGTGACGTCCAAATCCAGCCTGGTCTGACTGTGAAGTCCATGCTTGACCGTTGGAGAAAAGGAAACCCTTGCACAGTGTTGGTGGGGATGTCGCTCAGTGCAGCCACTGTGCAGAACAGTATGGAGGGTCTTCAATACATTAAAAACACAATTACCATATGACCCAGCAATCCCACTCCTGGATTTACATCAACGAAAATGAAACCACTAATTTGAAAAGATAGGTGTACCCAGAGTTCACAGTAGCATTATTTACAACAGACAAGATATGGAAGCAACCCAAGTGTGTAGCAACAGATGAATGAATAAAGATGTGGCACACATAGAAATTGAAATATTGCACAGCCGTAAAAAAAAAGAGAGAGAGAGAGAGAATGAAATTCTGCCATTTGCAGCAATGTGGATGGAGCTATAGAGAGTATTATGCTTAGTGA